AGAAGCATTTATGACCAACAAGGTCTAGAGATCAACATAGTGTTCACAGTTATACCCCTATAGTACAGAAGAATTAACATGAGTGAATAAAAATATGTTTTTCCATCCAGCTGCTATCCACAGTCACATGGGTCCTGTGTGCTGTGATATATAGTCATGCATTACCACATTATGTTCCCCCGCTCTTTGAGCGCCAGATCCTGCTGCCCCGCTGTCTCTCAAGGTCTTTCTCTGTCTGCTCTAGCTTAGCCAAGGTCACCCGCGCCGCTGCAGGCTCCCTGCAACCTTGAGCGGCTAACTGACCGGGAAATGTGTGTTCTCCCGTTCCACCACCTACGTGTCCCAGTGTCAATCAGCCAGATACAGAGCAGGGGCTGTCATGAAATGTTCCAGCATGCTGCCACCTGGACATTAGGTCACTCCAGTAGATGTAATCTGAAAAAAGAAGGGGCTGAAGGCCGTCCAAGAAATTAGTAAAAAGAGCTCAGCTTCTGGACATAATTGAATTAAGTGCCTGGACACACCAACTGTAAATGCTTCCACTTGTGTGGTATTAGTGTGTGTGAGAACTATACATCAATTTCTTTATGGGCAAACTAATACGTGAGTTCAAATTTCAAAAAATGGACGTATGCGCGCGTGTGTGTGTGTGTGTGTGTGTGTGCGTGTATCTATGTCTAATCTAGTAAAGAGCTCAAAGGATCTCGACTATCAATAGACCTTGAGAAATTTTTGATAGAGGTTTTTGAATCACACAGCCACAAAGGAGGAAAAAAAATATAAGTAAACAGTATATGACTGTTCCAATTAACAAGGCTACATACTAAAAGCTTTTTAAATAAAGGCAAGCCACAGAGTGCTACAGAGCATTAAAGCCACAATAGTGAGAGTGTATCTGGGACCTTGGCTTTGATATGAAATCTTGTGGCCTTGCCTTTACCGCCCTCCATGTTAAAAGCTCTTTGTGACAAGGAAATTACTTTATGAACCTCTGAAAGACGCTCCAACACTTCAACCTCCCTGTTAGTTTCATTGCAAGACCATGAGAGAAGTGTGTGTGTATGTGTTTTTTCTCTTTTCCATTTTTTAAATCGCTGCAGCTTGCTGTTGGTTTTTAGTCTTCGTCCCTGCTCTCATTTCATGGCTTCTCCTTCATTTTTGACCTTAGTTTCATTTTTTCTTAAAAAGAAAAACTATTGCTAATTACAGAAAATGTTAAAAAAATTCCTCTTTGCCCTTCTTTTTTTGTTGTATTCGCACCCAAATAAGTAAACCCCAGCGAGATATTTATTAAGCTTTTGACGCGGAAAGGTAAATAATTTGTGTTCATTTGGTGAGGTTTGTGAATAAACCTGTGTGTGTGAGGGAGTGCAGTGTGTAGCTTTACCCTCAGCCCTGTAAACAATTCGTAATGTCTGCTTGAACAAGAGGTCTGTTTTTCATTTTTCCAGGGTCTGTGGAAATCAGTTTGTTTGAATATGCTCACACTGCTGGGCTTGGCATCGGGTGAATCATATTTATATGTGAGCGTGTTTTTGTTTAGGTCTGTGAGGATTCGGTTCCTTTAACATGTACCTGGAATGTTCGAGCCGGATAGAAGCAGAAATACCAAACATGTGTCTCTGCGGCCTTGAGACTTCACAGGGCTCCGACTGCGGCGCTCAGCTCGGTAAACACAGTTTCCTCCTGTGGCTCTCTGTTTGGACAGGAAACAAGGAAGCTGATCAAACACTGGCTCAGAAGGCCACGGCTGCGCTGAGCTGGAATGGAGTCGCGGGTCTCTCAAAGCACTTTGAATAGAGGGGAAATGTGAAAAATAACATGTCACCTTTAGTGTGCGAATCCGTCGATGCGCGGCCCTGCTGAGTCTCTCATTTGTGCAATATTTTCCCAAAATAAATCATGCAGCATAGATAACCTTATCTCAAGCCTGTATTTTGTTTACACAGTGCAGGAACCAGTATCACAGACACAGTGTAAAATTAGGTGTTAGTGCCCGACTGCCTGCGCGCTACAGATTTACAGCCCAGTCCTGATGACATCATAGATTAGCAGGGGGGCAGATGATAGGAGGCATTAGCTGGATGGATAGATGTTGGGTGAGGGAGGGGGGTAGACAGAGAGGAGGAGGAATAAGATAAAAAAAAAAAGGAGTAGAAGGTGTGTGTCAAAGTCATTGGGGTTAATAAGTTAGGTGATAATGCTTCCCCCTTGTGACTGTTTATTAAACTGCAGACTTTGCATCAACTCATGATGGCTTCTTTATGAAAACAAAAAAATGACCTGCAAGTTTAGATGTGAGGAATATATCTTTGGGTACAGAAATATATGTTTATAAGCACATGATTTATTTATGGCATACTGCACCTTCTCCCGTTTGTTCAAGTGCACGATTGCGTCAGGCTTTGTACTGAACTTCTCAGCTGTGTGATCAACAGACATGTCAGTACTCAGCATAAAAACATAAAGTTAAAGGGTCACTTCAGACATGTTTTAGGAGGTATAAAAAACAATCTTGCCTGGGTCCAGACCTTTGAATCCACCTACTCCAACAAATTCAAGACTGATTCGTCTGACTTCGTGACATGAAACAGCCGTTTCTCGGTTGATCCCATGGGCACTGCAAGGGGACTTTATTAGCCAGTCACCACCAGGGGTGGGTCTAGTGTTGTCAAAATTTTCCCTAGTACTTATATTATCAATACTACTTGTCTTGCTCTCTCTTCTCTTTAATGGTGAGTTGACCCACACACTGCTGCAGGGCATCCATAGCCTCACCTCTTCTCACTCACTGTGCCGACTTCTCATCATTCATCTCATTTGCCTCAGTTGTGTAGACTTTTGCGAAATGGTTTTGTCTTGTTTTTTTTTACTTGCACTTGCATTTTAAATATGGGACTCAGAGGCTTTTGAATATATGCATTAGAATAATGTTTCATTACTACCAGGGGCGAAAATCCCATTTCATAGTTGGGGGGGACAGTAAACAGTAAAATTTTAGAGAATAATTCCAGGGGGGGACAAGGAAAAAAAGTTGTAGCCTGTCTTTTATATAGCATCTTTTACCGCAGTTTGACGCTTTAATCTTCTTTCTATCTCTCCAACAGGCAGAGTGTAAGTCCATATTTTAAACATGGGTAAGTCCATATTTTAATCGTTTTTTATAACGTTTTATAAGTTAATGACAATTTGTCATTGCATGTCCATGTATTGAGCGTGTTGGATTAACACTTAATGAATAGGGCATATTGTTCTGACCATTTTATTTATGTAGTCTGTAGGCTCAGTGACACAAAATTAAAATTGTAATGAAGTGATTAGGGTATTGAAAAATGTGTTCGATTATGCACTGTTGTGTTATTTTATTTTGAAAATTGGCTGGATTCTTTCGTCTTTTCTGTGTCCGACTTCCTGTTTGGTATGATCCGCTCTATCCAGCTTGACAGAAGCACTCATGGCTCGCGTGTAGACCAGACGCCGAACTGAAGCACTGTGGTGTGTGGATGTCTGTTCATCTTTTCGTTCATGTCCTTATTAATGCTTTATAACTCGCTTGTTGGATTTATTAAAAATGAACGAATGAAAACTAAATGTCTTTGAATATCTTTATTATCATTTAAAAACAAAAATTAAAATGACCGGTAAAAATAGATTATGACCAGATTTTTACGACCCTGTTGGTCAAAATGACCGGCGACGAAAAAGTCTAGCACAACCTCTGGACTGCACGTCATTCATGTTTGTCTCACTGACAGGTGAAGAGCCCACAGACAGGTACCCATTAGCTACAAGCTGCTCCGCCACAGACTGCTCTGTCCTGTCCTCTCCCTCTTCTTTCTCTCCTGTCCTCTCTGACTATCACTAAACTCTGAGCTTAATCATTAGCTTTTAGATTAGCAGCACTCATAATTGAGTAGGCTTTTGAACAATGCAGGAGAAATGTTGCAGACAGTTTATATTATCAGCCTGGGCCTGGGGCTTGTTGTAACAGTAAATGGGATGTGTTGTAACTTGTGTAAGTTAAACTGTGTCTGTGTGAGTGAACATCTTACCCTGTCACAGCCACACGCTGCTACTGCTGCCAAGCAGCCCTGCCCATTGGAAAGAGTGTGGGATATACCACTACTAGGAATGGGAGGGGGGGACTAAATCTTTTAAGATTTAAATAGCACATTATTGCGCGATTATAATGAGCACCGCTTACATTGTGCTTTTAATAAATACTACTGCATTGTTCAAAAATTATTAATTGTGTCTCAAATTATTCTAGGGGGGTACAGCTTTACTGAAGAGGGAGTCATGTCCCCCCTGGGATTTCCGCCCCTGATTACTACAGTTCAATAGTAGGTACAGTCCTAACCAAGAAAAGAGAAGTCACTCTGTAACTGGCCAACCCAGTCTCACTCCGAAGTTGTTTAAATCTGCCACTTGGGCAGTGATTTGCGGCTTTAGACACTGACGAAAAAAGTCGTTCTTTAACGATTTGTGGTCTAGAGTAAATAAATATGACTCTAAATCTAAATTTGAACTGAGAAACATATAAAAACAACCATCACGTATCAAACTCCGCACGGTCTGCACAGTGAAGGTAAAACATAAAGTAAAGGGGAGACAGCTATGGAGGACAAAACATGACCTAAGTATCAATAAATAATACAGGATTACATAAATACAGAAATAAATAAATGTATCAATAAATAAATATAGGACTAAATAAATAAATACAGTAAAAACATAATGATAAAAATATAATATGTGAAAAATGTATAAATAATACAGGAATAAACAGTTAATTGCTGAAATAAATAAATATTGAAATAAATATAAATTTAAAAATACATTTTAAATTTATTTCTTTATTTTTGTTTTTTTCTTTATTTATGCATTTATTTATTTAAATATTTATTTCAGCATTTATTCTTTTACTTATTTACATATTTATTTATTTATTCCTGCATTTATTTATTTATACATTTATTTCTTCATTGATGCTTGTCGTTTTTCGTCCTCCGTACACAGAATTAGTTTATTCCACTGAAATAAACAACAATGAAGCAGCTGTGATGATCCTCATGTTGTTACATATTATTTATTTGGTTTCCTAAATGTCAAGATGCCGCACATTTATGTTAGATGAAGAAATGATAATCAGACATAGACATTGTTGATCATTACTAGAAGACATGGCCAGTGAGAAAAAAAGTAGGAACACGTTGTTCTGTTATGAAATGAAAAAAAAAAAAAACAGGAAAGATGAGTTTCAGTTTTCAGTTTTCAGTTCCTGTCTTTATTGTCCGTCACAAAGTGAAAACTACACACCACATGGACACACACTATTTTCATTATTGCATTTTAAAATAACAATACATGAATACAGCAGAATCATTTGGTAATTATTAATCACGTACAGAATGAGCATTAAACTCTGACTAGAGTATGAATTAAAAAAAAACTGAATGCAGTCCTGAGTTTCATTTTATTTTTTGGTGATAAAACTAAAATGAAAGGGAGAACTGAATGAGTAAGTTCCTTGACACCGGAGCTACTTCTCTTTATTCTCTGTGGGCTGCTCCCTGGATGCCTCGTTTGAAATCTGCAGAAAGGGAGTGCTGATCTCACTTGACTGCATGTCACCAGCCACCCGCAGCAGGCAGCTGAGGACCATGTCCTTTGCCAGGCCGGCCTCCAGGTTCCCTTCTCGACTCAGCTGCAAAGTGATCTGGTCCAGGCTGGTCAGGACCAGCTCTGATCCCAGCAGAGGGCAGATGGGGCCTTGGTTAGAGTCTGAACCAGGGGCGCCTTCCCTGGCCATGTTCTCCATCATGTATTGCTGGTACAAATCTAAGAGTTTCTGCTCAAGATAATGATTTAGAAGAGAGTTGGAGAATGGACCTTCCCGCCCCTGGAGCAAAAAACTCCGATCACGGGTGCTCCCCAGTCTCCAGCGATTTGAACTTCCTCTCTGTGGATGCATAAGTCCACCCTGAGATGCCTGTCCTGGGGGAGAGTCCTCCACTGCTGGGGGGACATCACAGGACTGGAGGAAAGGGCCAGCAGCCTGGTTCTCAGTACAGACCTGGAGCCCACCATCATTGGTTGAAAGAGGAAGCACCTGGTCGCCTCCGATATGGAGGTCACTGTAATTCTGGCAGATGCTCTGACAGAAGGAAGGAACCAAGAAGGGGGCTTCACCAACTGAGCCAGCCTGAGCTGGGATCTCTATCTCTGGAGAGATCTGTCTGCCCGGCTGGGCTCCGTGGAAATCAAAGGACTGCAGAGGTGAAATGTACAAATCCTCCGAATCACTCCCGTTGTCTGTGCAACCTGTCAGCTCAGGGGAATTGTGATGAACGAGTGGAGTGTGTCTGACAGAGCCTGGCACCACGGTAGCAGCTGCTCTCGGCAGCCCATAAGCAGTCTGGGGAGTTCTTTGAGGAGGGAGTGGGTCCAGCTCCTCCAGTTCACCATAGGTCATGCTCAACAGTCTGCCTTCACAAAGCATGGCTGCAACAGAGAGCACATTCTCAGGAGCTGTAATAAGACTGTAATAAGACACTGTAATAAGAAGCAAGCGGCTAAAGTCAAGAGGGTTTGAGATTGAAACAAACTTGTTATATAGACCCTTTTAGGGCCGACGTCACAATGATGTTATTTTATTAGCTGGAGGCAAAAAAGGGACTCTCCACCACAGGGCTGTAGGCTACATAGGAGTCTTAAAATGTCATCTTGTTGTGTTATTGGGAGCCAGAATAGAAGGAGTCATGGCTCAAACTTAAATTTTATTGCATACCAGCCGCCACTGCCCGTTAACAAACACAAAGACAACTATGGTTAAATGTGATAAGATGGACTGGACGGAGGTGATCATCAAAAGTGCTCATGTCATATCAGGTTAGGGAAAAAGTATTTCCTGTTGTAGGGATGAATAACGTTATGTGTATTAAGGGTTATCATGTCTACCTCATCAGAATTTGGCATGGTTTAAAGAGGAATGTTAGATTTCTCTGTAATGCATGCTTTTTAGCACATTAGCTAACGTTAGCTTCGATAGCAAAACAAACTGGCAGAAACCTTTTAAGTGTCAACCATAAAGCTTCCTGTGACATCATCCATCCACTGAGTGAGAGCATACAGGTCAGCCAGTCTGGTCCCGTTGGTCAATGTTTACTTATTCAAGTTACACTCACGGTCCCGGAGAGTGAGTGACCTGACATGGTGCATTGGTAAATTCAGTCTGACGCTCTACACTAAAATGAGAGTTCTGTTGGTCGAAGAAACGGAGTGTTATATTTCTATATGAATTAATGAACGGTTAAATTAATCACACATTCACTCTGCTTGGCACTCTGCTGCTCCGAGAGTGTGCTCTGGATAACCGATCAGTATATTCCGACAGCGTTACAAATTTACCAACAGTCAAGTTCATGCTCCGGCACTTAGACTGAATAATTCTGAATGCACCACTTGTATCATCTTCCTCCGTTTCTACAACAAGCCAACAGAACTCACTGGCTAGTACTAGCTAGCTAAAATTGTTTTGCCTCCAGCTAAGCCCCACCCACCAAAAAACATTGTACTGTTTACTAACAGTGAAAGGGTCTATTAGGTGAGATCATAATTTCAGCCACTGAGCTCTTAAGCAGACGTGGTTTGTAATTATTTGTGTTATTGTTAGCTAGCGCACGGTAAAGAGTCTTTTTTCTATTTATGGAGTTGTGTTGTTAATGTGCTAACTGGCTAACTAGCGTCTTGAATCTGTCCTGTTGGTCTCCTGGTTTCCCTTTTTCAATGACAAATACAGACTACTGTCGCCTGCTGCTATAGATAGTGGTTTCTTCTCACGCCGAGTCAGAGCGTACATGCTAGTTGGCTGTTGGCTTGACCTCCTGAGAACCTGTGCCCTCATACCAGGACATTACATTTTGGGTTTACTGGACCTTATGCCTTATTCTGCTTAATTCAGACCTGTTCTCCTTGTTCGTGGACACTTTTTTGTGCCATCTAGTTGTAAGAGCACAATACACCAATCCATGTAAAAACAAGATGGCAGCCATCTCTGCCAAGTCGGTCTGTAGCCGACCCCAACAGAAACATGTACAAGGTCCAACTCCTGATCAAATTTGATGTTTGAAACTTGTTTATTTATGATTAATAAGGTTTATAGTTGGATACGCCCTACAGATTTCACCAATCTTAGCAACGGTAGCAAGCTAAGACGCTGTTCATTACACATTTGGAATTTGTCATCAGCTTGTTGATGGACATTAATTAGGACTTAATTATCGTCTCGTTTGAGGATATAGGGACTATCATTGACAATGTTTAGTTTTTATACTTATGAGGTCCTACTGATCCCAAATGGCTGAGAGAAATACAAACATACACCGGACCATGGACTGATGTCACAAACTCAACAAAAAACACACATAAAACTGCACAAAACACAAAGAATGATTCAATAAAACCACCGTTAAACTCAATGACACCAGTTCATTCATGACTACATTAATAATTCATCTTGAAAAACTGTTTCAACCAAGTCTAAAAGGATTCTTTTCATGACCCCCCCCCCCCCAACAGAAAAAGACAACATCGCTTCATCTAACAATCATAAAGATAAATCATATCCCTTTGAAACTAACCTCTTCCTACCTTGAACCGGAATCACAGTCCCACAGTCAGCTTTCACCTTAAAGTACCAGTCGTCCTTCCACAGTCTTCATCATAGCAGAGAAAAACACTCCTGATTAGAAACATTATGTTTTCTATTGATGCAACCTGTCAAGTGTTTACATGGTTATTTGATTGAAGACCTGCATGAATACGAGTGCATTCATGTGCGAGCATACTTTTTAATGCCACCCCAAGAGGAAGTGGGAATGTTAGATATTTTTTTTCTTTCTTCTCATTTCTGCAAAGTCAGTGTTGCAGCTGGGTTAGTCATGAATATACTGGAAGTAATCATCCTGCCAATTAATGTCTTATTTTGATAGGATTGTTACAGACAATCCCCTCCACTTCTTCATATGTAGATGATATCTATGTTACGGCCTTACATAAGTATGTACCTACCTCTGTATTTCCTCCAGCCAAATGAAATGACAGATGTTATGTTCTTAGGAACGCAACATACACCATAAAAGGAAACCACAGAAGTTTTGTTTCTTTGTAAAAGACACAGGTGTGCTATTGGGGTAAAGTAAAAAGCAGAAAAGAAAGTCATATTAATATGATCAAAATCCTCAGGAAACAGAGAGGTCGACAGATGCTGATTCCTGTTTTCATTTTACTGATAAGCCACACCTCAATTTTCTGAGTGACGTCTCTGTGCTGTGAGAGCAGTTAAACATGCAGCTTTTTAGTCCAGTAACTGCTGTTTGGAGCCTCTAGTTTTACTCCCCCTGTAATCTATGTGCGCAGCCAAAAGCAGAAGTGTGACTTCATGCTCGGTTATGTAACCACAGCTCATCATTTCCTCCTTGAAACCGTGCCTACTCCTCAGCGTGTTCAAGTAAACGCTGTAACTGTCGCAGTAAATTTGCCTCAGACGTTGGAGTGATGCTTAATTTCACCAGATGTGATGTAGTTTTTCTTTCCCTCGCTTTATTTGACCTCCTCTGTGGTTAAAAACTTGTATGAATCTGATCTCTCTCGCAGCTGAGGTCTGAATCAGTTGTCTGGGGAAAGTGATGGAAACTTTCAGGCTATATTTATGGCCGGGATTTTTCCGAGATGAAAGCACCCCGTCTGCATATACGACTCGCTTCACTTATGTTCATACTTCCTCTGCTTGCAGCAGGGATGCCCAACAATAGAAGCACATGAAACACGAGAGAGCGTGTTTTATTATTAATCAGGCGAGGAAACCCAGACATAAGTCAACATCATGCATCTTCTGGAGTTTGTAACAATATCCAAGTCATTTATGCAACTGAATTTTAATCTTTAGCACCTTTTATAAACCCCAAATCTGAACAGTTTAATCCATCCACAGTTTAACCTATCAGATGTTGTTTTCTAAGAAGTCCGGTCTTGTGTAATACCTGGTTCATTAACAGGTTAAGTCACATTCACATGTAAAACTACAGACAGACGTTGTTGATTTCCTTGCTGTTGTTGCTATTTTGTCCACTAAGTCTCGGATATCTGACACAGGCCTGCTGCTCAGTAGCACAGTGTAGAGTTACCAACCCGTTGCTACAGCAGTGTTGCTGAGCAACATCCGATAACACAAAAGACACGCTGAGATCAGGTTAGACGAGTGACTTGCATCTGCTTTTGTGTCACAAGAGAGCAGCTGTTTGGTAATTTCAGCACCCCGGACAGCGTCTGGTCACAGTGAACAGCTCCAGTTAGGCATTTTTGTTTGTTTGCTTGTTTTGAGACATATCAGCCTGCTTGAAGAGATGAATATGGATAGATGCTGCACAAATGCCAATGACAAGTTTGTAATCCTGAAAGGCTCCATTTAAAGGAATGTTCAGGAAGATTAATAATGTGTTCCGTCCCAACCATCATGGACACAAAGGACGGGATGGTAATGGTGGCGGTGGTGGTGGTGGGTTTCGGTCTGAGCAGGACTACCACAATGCCTGCACCGTCAGGCTGGTTCGCAGCACCTCTATGCTCGTCGTGGGAGAGAAAACTCAAGCTGCTGTGGGCTCAACTTTAAAACGGAGCAAGAGCACAGTGAGCATCGAGTCGACCTTGTACTATTATCAGAGACAAGAGGACAGGATATGGCTCTACTCTCAGAATCAGAACTGCCTGGAGTACCTGGAAGCGCTCGTGGCTTTGAGACGGCAGTACACAAAGAGCGTGAGTGACTTGAAAAGTAACGATGCCAAGGCCACAGTGTCCTCCAAGAAGAAGCCCGCACCCCCTCCGCCTGCGAAGGAAGAACCGGTAAGCTTAAATCATCTATCCTAGAGCACATGGCAGGCAATATCAAAGACAAATGTTCTCCCTTTTTTTTTTAACCGCAGATATCAAGAGCCAAACCCTCTGCCCCTCCGGTCCCCAGTGTCGAGGACACATTGCAGTTCTTTGATGCAGTCATCGCTGGCTGCGACAGCGAACCTCTGCGCAAACCGTACATGGATGATGGACATGCAGATGTGGACTTCATAGGTGGGTGTGGGTTTGAAAACCTCTTGGCCCCTGCAGGTCTTAAAGGGGAGTTACACCCATTTAAAAAAAAAAATAAAAAAAATCATACATTATTCCTATGATCTAAGACAGCCAAAACTATTAGTAAACATATTAGAACTCTTACAAATCCAAAGCTAGAATGCTGAAACTCAGATTTCTCAAACTCAAAATCTGCTCCATAGACAGTGAAGGGGGAAAAATGTTCTAGATGACACTAAGAGCACCCAGGGGAATGTTCTGAATATGGGAACATTTTCTTTCCCAGAACTTGTGAACACCACAACATAATGAAGCTCATTTGGGTATTTAAAAGGAAACAACTAATGTCAGTTTCCATTCATTGTCTATGGAACATCTCCAGATTTTATACTTGATGACATCACAAGTTTGAGATCTAAGGGGAGTTTATACTTGTCTGGCAGACCCTACGCCATAGCCTATGCACGTGGCCCACACTGTTGTGAGCATTTACTTGTGCAGTGTTGAGTCTGTGTCACTCTGCAGTTACACCACCAAAACACTAGTCAGTGGTGAGGTTTCTGTGAAGTGCTGTAAAGTGTAGTTGATTCAAATACAAACATTAAACATGGCTTAATAGCAACAATTTCAAACACAGGTACACAAAATCAGTTTCACTATAACTCGCAGCATTCACAGATGAAACGCTTGTCTTTTGCTGGATACATTTTCCCCACAAATACAACATGCCAAAGTTTTTAGCACAAGCCTATGGCATTTTTCCATTGCTAAAATTAGCCTAGCGGCTAGCTGATTTTTTTACTACTTATATGAAGCCAGGAACGACAGCAAAATTTAACAAAGATAAAAGTACAAAATTCGGTGTCTTATACTAAACATGTTTGCCAAACAAATATAACTTGCTAACGTTATTAGCACAAGCCTATGGCATTTTACATTGTATAAATTAGCCTAGCTAAGAGTGGACATTTCCTCTACTGATATGAAACCAGGATAAATCACACACAAGAGTTAAAATGCTATTTTTGTGGAGGCTTTATTGTCTTCACAATTTGTTTCTTATCTGTGAAATAAAAGTAAATAAAAGCTTCGTGTTAGCATAGCACTTATAAAGCTAGCTCTCTAATATTCTCGCCAATTGGCTAGCTTACTTGTTAGCATAGCCTACCTATTTAGCAAGCTAACTCGCTGACATTCTAGGCAATTGGTAAGCTTACTTGTTAGCATAGCCTACCTAGTTAGCAAGCTATCTTACTAATATAATATATACTTAAAGAATATTTCAAATGCAAGCCTTTTACTGTTAACATGTTTTGCTGTATTGCTACTTCAACTTTAGGATTTTGTCATTATTTCAAATGGAAATGTGCATTTAACTCTTGGTCATACTTTTTAGATTGCAGTTTTACATGTTAGGTTCAAGTAATAATTTACACTGCTGTTTATTAGGCTAAAAGTATATGGTAGTACTAGCAGTATAGTAGTTGTTTGTAGCACTATGGTGGTAAAAATGTAACCTGAACAAGCTATGACATTAAAATACTGTTCACAAGTTAACATATCAATAATTTAAACACTATGAAAGATGCCACTTTTTCACAAGTCCTTTTTACTTGGGACACTTACAATGGAACATTCTAACATTGTTATAGCTCTACTTTTATAATTGCACAGGTGTCACAAATAATGTTAATGTCCAAGTAACTATGCACCGTAGAGCTGAACTTTCACATCTGAATGGAATAGTCATTGTTGTTATTGATTTAGTTTTTCCTGCTTTGATGTGTCAAATGTATGCTGTGGAAAACATCTATTGAATTCAATCATCCATTGAATTTCCCCTCAGGGGGATTAATATAGTAAATAAAAACTTAACAGTAAGTTTTTTTTTTTTAGTTGTTTTTTTTTTATCTCACCCCCGGTCGGATGTGGTGGGTCGAGGTCAGGTGTGGTTAAAGACTGGGAAAGGTGAGACTTTTTGTAAGGTACTCTTTAATACAGTGCCCCAGCTCTTAGAGGCCAGCTGATTGTCTATATCAACCTGTCAGTCTAATATTAAACTGTGTGGACCTTGAAGTAATGACGAAGGAGAAATCTGAACCCCGTGTCTTGACAGGTTGGGAACCACTGACCTAGATTGTTCTGGTGTGAGTTGCAGAGTGTTGGAGATATTGGCTGTAGAAATGTTTGCCCTCTCTCCAATATAATGGAACTAGATAGCACTCAGCTTGTGGTGCTCAAAGTGCCAAAAAATAAGTTTAAAATAATCAGCAGCAATGTCTCTTTCAAGAAATCATGACCTGGTTACTCAAGATAATCCACAGACCTTGTGGTGAGCAGTTTCATGTAGGAACTACAGTATTCACCTTTAAGGCATCAACCAAAATAATCCAGCACCAAGTAGTATTGAGGTTGAGGTTTTCAATTTGTTTTGATGCTTTGAGCCCCACAAGCTGAGTACCACCTAGTTCCATTATATTGAAGAGAAGGCAGACATCTCTACAGCTGATATCTCCAACACTCAGCAGCGCACACCAGAACAATCTATATTAATAAATAGCACTAAAGGTAAGAGGAAAAATATGAATTTTCGATTTTGGGGTGAACTGTCCCTTTAAGGTCCTGGAGTGAAGCTACTTGCTTTCAGCCTCAGCTCAAGCTCTTACTCCCTGCTCTTCTCTCCCACAGTGGCCTCCAGCTCAGCCGAACACGACCTCCACTCCAACTGGGTCCTGCGAGTCCCTCAGGTCGCAGACGACCCCAACCAGAAAGCAGATCATGACTGTGCCAAGGAAAGCGCCCAGAAGAAGAAAAACCAGAACGGGTCCACAAGCAGCAGACTGCGGCTGCAGAGGAACCCAATCCATCTTCCCAAAGTGGTGGAGAGTGCATTCCAGACTCTGCGCTTCAAGCCCAAATTAAAAAAGCAGTGAAGCCTGATAGACATTTGAAACCACCAGCACTGCCATGATGCTGACATGGAGCTCAAGCTAGTTTGTATGGACAGACACCATGCTCTGATAAAACTCCACCCGGACAATTAATACTTGCATAAAATATGTAGAAGGTATTTTAAAGGGATAGTCCGGATTTTTGGAAGCAGGGTTGTATGAGGTGCTTATCCATAGACAGTATATTGTAAAAGTTCGCATGCCCCTAGTGAGGAGAAGCAGACTGGAGTTCGCCATGGAAGCTAAGTCATCTACTGCTGTGGAGGGGTCCGCCACAAATCATATTTTAGCCACCCGAATAAATCGATATCAGTTTACATGTTCACTATACTGAGAGTTTTTTCCACTGTTTCACCTTAATATCAGACATTGATTTCCAGCAGGAAAATGAAGCGGTCATTATCGCTCTCTCATAACCAGACTCCATTGAGAAAACTCAAGCTAAGTGTCCCATACAACCCCACTCCAAAAAATCCACACTATCCCTTTAATAAAGCAAATGTTAAGAAATCTGTCTCTTCGATGATGTCAAGTCAGTGACTTGTCATAGTTGGAAAACCACAGGCATTACTAATAACATTAACGATGGCTCTGTTCTTTTGAAGTGTCCCAGTAAGTCATGATACCATGATACCATGACCAACATGCACAATACCAGGACCCTGAAACAGAAGCAGCTGAATGGAACTCAGCCATCGTTCATTCATTATTTACTCCTGTGTTTTTCCTTTTACATGTCAAAATGTCTCCTGTGAAAAAGGCATATCCGGTATCATCTGTTTCAAGGATTTCTGAACCTCAATATGCGATTCATACGTCTCAGTAAGATGCCACTTTAAATGAATATTACTTTGAGGAATTTTACAGTTTAGTATGTAATAAAAAAATTCCTTCTGATGCCAGGAGATTACTCTAACCCTTCTGTTGATAGCATTTCTTTAAAGTGTGCTTTTGAACAGAATTAAATAAGAGAAGTAATATATAATATAAAACGCTGTGAGAGGTATGGAATTTAGCTTGAGTAGGGTTTATGGTTCAGACCTGCGGAGAGATGGCATTCATTCGAGGTATCGAAGGAAACAGTAAATTGCAACACTGTCCTTCACAGCAGTGAGACTCGCTGAAAGGTAAACATATTTCTGAACTGCATGAATGCCAGCTTCATTTAAGAGAGGTCTAGATTTGTAAGGCGAGTCTCAGGGCTGGGTTGACTGAAAAGTTGAAAACCAGTGAAGGTTATCCTGCTTGTTGTCGCTGAAGTTAAAATGGTTGTAAACATAAAGGGTCAATTCAGCCAATTACAAAAAAGAAACCCTCATTTCTGACTTGATGTTATCTTGCAGTGCTGATATTTCTGGATTTATTTGCCCATCGAATGAACCCTGGGCTGTCTGCATGCTTAGATACCACAGGGGGTAGTTACAAAAAAAGTCTTTGTGCAATTTGGGTAAGATGTCATGGTGGAAGAAGTATTCGAACTGTTTACTTTAAAAGGACAAATACTCAAAGTATAAAGTAAAGGGGTTATGAGTCATTATGCAAAATGTCTCCTTTCTGAGTTGTACTTAAATCACTGAAAAATACATGTAATATTTAAATGTTGTAGTTGGTCAACATGGAGCAAAGTTTAGATGTAGATCAGGAGTCGGCAACCTTCACCATTGCAAGAGATATCTTTGCCAAAAATAAATAAACCTGTCTGGAGCAGCAAAACATATTTGAGCCTTATAACAGCCTATTAAATCTTAATTAGCCCATCAACATTACTAAAAGCTCTAAATGAGTATTCATTAATGTTTTACCAACAGGTGTCTGCAGTGGGTTATTTAGAAGTATTTGGTACTTTAATTTTGCAGCGTTAGCAGTGAAAGCTAACGAATCTGTTCACGAGGGATGAAATTCTTTATTTTCTTCGAGACTTTTCTTTTTTTAAATTTGGAATCCGTAGCGAGCCACCACCTTTGAAGTTCGGCAAAACTATGAGGAAAAAGCAAAAGGTCGTAGATGATGATGACATGTTTTTGTAGGGCCGCACTCTGATAGTTGAAGATTCAAATCATCAGTCAGAGACCCCTCAGTAGATCAAGATTACTTGAAGTTAGCATTTTGTTGTTATTTTTTTTTTACACCAATGCGCCAGCAATAGCCATTGCTGGAGGTATTATGTTTGCTGGTTGTCCGCCCCATTCTCATGAACACAAAATCTTAAGGACACCTTAACAGAATTTCTTCCAATTTGGCACAAACTTCCACTTGAACTCAAAAATTAACTACAGAGAATTTGGTGGTCAAAGTTAAAAGGTCAAGGTCACTGTGACCTCGTCCGTCTGGTTCTCTTGAATGTGACATCTCAAGAAGGCCTTGAGGGCATTTCCTTGATTTTGGCACAAATGTTCACTTGAAACGTATTCTCATCGCTGTCATAAATGCTATTTATTGCATTACTATTATCATTATTATTATTTATTGCAATTCTTCGGTCTGTCCAATGATTGTAAACACGTCATTGGGTCTGTCAGGCTGGAAAAATGTTTGCAGTAATGTTACCGAAAATATTTAAGGCCTTATATTAAGAAAAGTTTAAGACATTTTAAGGACCTGTAGACACCCTGTAAACATGTTTACAGCCACCTGTAAAATTAACATTTTATTAAGGTTTACAGTTATGCAAAATTAAGGGTGTGGCCACTTTGAGTGACAGTTGGTCTACAAGACGTCACCAAAGTCTGGTACAGACTGTACGGGTGGCGAATTCTTTTATAACTCACTGCTTACATTTTATTAAGGCTTAAAGTTACCCAGTATTAATAGCGGCCACTTTAAATGACAGTCTGTCTTTTGATAGTGTCCTCGTCTTCTCAGTAAAACCCACCCCTCGCTCCTCCACAGCCCCAGCCTCTCGCCCAAATATGGTCACTTCTGGCCTCAAAAAACTAATTTTGTGACAGCTGAAATGCCGAATTTGAGGCCTCAAAACAAGACTCCACAAACCAATTGGTGACGTCACAGTATCTACGTCTATTATTTTATGCTTCTAGTAGAAATTTAAATTTTATGCCCTTACTGTCCAAAGAGAATGTGAAGTTCACATCATGGCATGTTAAATGTTTCAGAAAGAGGCTCCATCTTGTAAGGATGGTGGTCAGGCAACTGTATTTGGACAAACTAGTCACAATAAACAGATTATAGACCTCAATGCACTACATCCACTCACATAACTTGGATATTGTAAAGTATCTCATTTTTGGACTGAGTGTGTACACTCTGGTAGAAGTAACAGAGCGCGTACCTCAAAGATGGCGCCCCCATCTCACACAGCATGATAATCCTTCATAGTCTGTTTTTCCCTGTGGTATCAAATAGATATTTTACAAGGTACTGTATTGAAGTTAGAGATTCCAGTATCGTGACCACACTAGTACAAACATTAATTTGGTCAGAATACCAGTGATAACTTTCCTGCATTATTACTTTACCTTCCACAGCGTGAAATCAAGTCATACATCAAATACATTTCCTTTTCTTTATTACAAATGTTTCATATACAAAACCAAAAACTGTACAACATTCACTTATTTTTCTGCTTTGACCTTGGGGCTGAAGAAGGATGACATCGTCTTCATGCCGGTCTTGTCCACCTTCGCCAGAGATTTCTGAGCAGCAGTCATCTTCTTGGGCGGCTGGAATAAGAGACAATAAAAATCAATAGGATAACTCCACACCTTTGCACAGAGACAGCAGGGAATTCATTACATGTCATGAACTTCAATTCAAGCTGAGAAAGTTAACAAGGTAAGCCCCTCTGACCCGTGTGTGTACAGATAAAGCTTAAAGAAAGTGTTCAGCCAAAAACAGCTACGCTGACAATCACTCAAGGTCTTTAACAAAGAGAGAAAACAGACTTCAGAGATGAAAGCAAAGACATGACCAAAAGTCATTATGATATAATCAAAAGAGAGGCTGATCAAAGCCACAGACTCCACCAGTAATTGTTTGGTCTTTTCAGGCAGACGTCTCAGTATTACACTCACTTTCCGCGCAAAGTCTGCACTGTTGAATTTGGTGTAGTCGTCTCCGGCCTCCACCGGTTTGTCTGAAAGTTTCCGCTTCTGCCAAACGAGGAAGTAAGACAAGCTTTTCATGACAACCAGGACCAAACTTTTTTATAAACCACAGAAAAACACCACAACGACCAAGGAGGACGTCACACTGTCAAAGATAAGGCTCTCACAACTTAGGTTAAAAACACAGAAGCACAGCACAGATGCTACATTGTTAGAGGTGTAGGACTACAGAGAAGATGCACGGCTGATTCGACAGCAGCAGACAGAAAAAAGCTGTGCTGATTTCACAAAGAGACACAAACCTTGGAAGGAGGTTCAGTCTCCTTTGGGCTTGTGAGCTCTGGTAACCTGTGGAGTACAACAAGAAGCATGCTTGAGCACTAACAGTACTAATAATTATCATAAAATACAAGTGTCATCTGTCTGAACTTACTGCAGGTGATTGAGGAGGGCTTTGCTCAGGTCCCCACTGAGGTACTCTGATATCAGGCCATGAGCATAGCGTAGGTAGTCCTCTGTATCATGGAGATGAGAGAAATGACAGCCGGTAATTGGCAATATAATCCAGCTTTGTTTGATAGAGCTTGATGTTGGGGAAATGTTTTAACATCATAACCCACAGACATAAATGATGCAATATTACTGCCATCTATTGGTCAGCATCCTCTCTGCTGCTTGTGTTTTCACAGGAAGCTGAGGCTGGAGTTTCACACAGGTATAGGATGGGATTCGACTTTGAAAAAGGGAAGTGGCTTACCCTCACAGTGGTCCGACTCTGACTTCATTCTGACGTACGTTGTGGATTTGACTCCTTCTCCCACAGAGATACTTCTCGCTTTGAGTGCAGTGACAGTCCTCTCCACCTACACCAACAGGTACAAAACACTGTATGTAACTCTACTGTGTAAAACTCATCATGCATTTTCACCACGGTTGGAAATTAACTTGTTTGTCCACCTGACACTACAGCTGGTAAAGATTACCTTTTTTGGGTGGTAAAAGAAGCAAATCTTGCAGCCACCTGCATATTTTACCAACATTTGGTTTTTCACATGAACACAGTTTTCCTGATATTTATGATATCATATAGATCAGTGGTTCCCAACTGGTGGCGCGGTCCAAAAGTGGGTCGCAGATCCATTCTGAATGGACCTCAAGTTACTCACAAACATGTAAATTTCCGGCACAGAGCTTTTATTTTGAAGTGCTGTTTCCTGTTGTAAAGTAAGTGAATAATAGATAGGTACCTAACAGAGACAACAAACTAGCTTGACAACAAGGCCAAACACAAGTATGTCACTAAATATATTGAACTGTGTGGAACTTAAACTAATGACTAGAGAGAAATCTGGACCAGTTGGGAACCACTGATATAATTCCTCCTTTCAACTTAATGAATCAGCCTCTCCTCATCCATCGTGGAGTGTCAAAAGCATGCGACAGGACTGAAACAGGGCATCCAACAAAAGTTCTGCTCAACCTGTGCACTAGGTTGCTCTTTTGTCGGCTTGAAATCCAAAATGTTGCCATGTTGGTATAGTTTTAGTTTACAGACTAACTCTGCCATGTCTTGTCAACCCAAAAAACATACTGTCTAGTAAACAAACTCAATGTGTGCTACTCACCCCCCTACCACCTCTACTGAAATTTGTTCTCAGCGGAAGCCTGTCAGACTGCTGGCTCAGTTAAGTCACACAAACATAATATTTTGTTGATCACATTGTCATATTGCGCATTACTAGTGAGATACAAGTTGGCTCTAGGGCCGTGATGCAGTCAGCACATGTTGATGATGTAGGCTACTTTTTAATTTGTCAGAGTGTGCTAAATTATCGGTTCAGCCAGTTTGCAAAAAATCAAACCAGTTTAAGTTTGTACACCGAACCCAGCCACCAAAAATGGAAATCAACCCAACTTTAGTAGAGCGCTGTTTTAGGTTTCTACTAATGCAAACTGACTGTTTCCTACTGCTGAAGCTAGGGATGGGGCCGATCTGATCCAGTATCAGTATCAGGTTCAGATACCAACGTAATTCACGGATCGGAAATTTCCGATCCACCGGCCGTGTCTGTGCTTTCACATTGTCTGCTGGAATGATATGATGATTGCTACATAGTAGTGTTGCACGGTATACTGGTACCAATGGTAGACTGTGGTACAAAAACACGATGGTACATATGATACCATAATGTTGGAGTACCTCAGGTACCACTACTGTGGGATAAGTTCAAAGTCCAATCGCAAGAGGGTGAGTGTCCATGCGCCGTCCAATAATGGCACACGCTGGCCACCTGGCACTCGATATGCAGCTGCAGTGGTTTGTTTTCCACTGACATTTCTGAGCTATTGAGTATCTTTAAGCAGTGAAAGTTATTATTTATTTATTTATTTTTACTTGTAGGCTAGATTTCTTTATATATGCTACAGTGATCTGTTTTCCACAGAGCTCTACGGTGCGAGCATTTTACTCGCATTTGAGACTAAAAATAGTTTTGTGCGAGCAAAAGAAATCATTCAGGAGCACGCTGTGCGAGTACAGATTTCAACCAGCAGCAGAAACTAAAGGCAAATCCTGCCGGTTGTGGGTTGAACAGGGGTCACAGACAGAAATACAGCAGCCATAGTGTTCCGCGACGCAAGATAGCGGCTTACTGGCGACAGAAAAGTCCGGCTCCAGGTCCAATAAGTCTTCATTGGTGTCATGACTGCCCAAAAGTACCTGAACAGCCGAGCCGTGGCGGCACACAGGTATGTGACGTGTCAGAGGAGAAATGAGCCATTTCCACAAACCTCGCCGCACTTAAGGGACCGTTCTTAACTTGTCAGGGGAGGAGGGTGGCTTGTTGATTTTTGGTTGATTTTTATTTTATTTCTTTTTATTTCATTTTGATCCCCCCTATGTTAATCACTTATTGATGCTGTTTTTGAAGTATGAATAAGTCAGTAAGTAATTTATTCCATTGAAATATCATTGATGTATTATAGAAAAGTGATTTATCTTTTTATAAATGACAAAAGGCACATATGCCTCATTTTAAATGTAGTATCGTGATACTACTCAGAACCATGATACTTTAACTGATATCGTACCGTGGGTCCCAATTTTGGTACCGTGACAACATTACTACATAGTAGTGTCTACTTGATTTGTATCTGTGCTGTTCAGATTAATATGACAGGTATTTTTTTGTTTTTTGATAGTGTATATTGCACTAGTAGTTTAACACTGTCTTGGAATTTAATAAATATTGACAATCAATTTGAAACCCTTACAGCTGCATATTTGTTTTCAGAATGGGATTTTTCCTGTTAACAGGATTTCCTGCTTTTCTGACCTTATACTTACCTCAAGTTGCCTTTTGGGACATACATGCATACATACATACATATTATACTTGCCTGTAGAGAGGAGTTTATTACAGCCTCAAATCAACAATAATGATAATAATATTTAAGCAAACAGAGCAGTGGTATCGGAATAGTATCGGTATCAGCAGATATCCAAATTCAGGTATCGGGATCGGATCGGAAGTGAAAAAATGTGGATCGGTGCATCCCTAGCTGAAGCTTATAATTACAGACAGTAATCTGAAAAAGAAACTGACTTATTACAAGGTAGTCAAAGGGCTTGCGAGGTGTTCTTCAGTGAGATTAACACTACTGCTATTGTTCATCAAAAATGCATCTACAAAACACGGCACCGGTCATTTTCAGTATTTGTTGACAGCAGATCAGTTACAAATATTGCAGGAAATAATGGAACAAAAATGAGCAGCCATGGTGAGCTGTCAGATGAAGAGCTGCAGGTGACAGGATGCACACCTCCAACTCCTTTGGGATGTAACCAACTCCTTTTCCCTCATTAATGTTATCAGCTTTTCAAGTGTTGACAGGTTTTAATCTAAAATACTACCAAATAGGCACTTTTGCTTTGTGATTTGACACCAAATCCTGCGCCAGCATCTTGTCAGTTAACCCTCCTTATAAGTGAAATCTGACTCCTGTTAATTCTGTGCTCTCAGTTTATAGCTAAGAACCTGAGTACTAATATTTTAGCATTGGTCGTCCGACTAAGTAGCCTTCTGATTGGGGGAAAAAGAAGCAAAATGATGGCGTTGGCAGTGGGCAAGTAATGTAACTGGTATATGCCCTAACATCGTGTAACACCTGTAATGTCATTGACTACGGCAGGCCTATGTTGCAGTAACAATATCTTGCTGTCTTCTGCCCTTCACAGAAGAATTGGTTTGAATTTCACAGTGTTAATGACTTCTTGTGATTACCTTTTTCTTCAACCAATTCATCGTCTTCTCTTCACTGTATCGATTGAACTTCAGACCTCCCACCTCTGTAAGTATGAAACACAGCATTTCAACAATGTGATCAGAATAACCTTATAACTGGGCGAGATTAGCTTCAAAAAATAAACTTCACCTTTTTCCTCTGCGATGTGGTGCAGGGAGGCCAGGGAGCGTGTGCAGCTCAGCAGCCTTGAGCAAGCTGGGAATTCCTCGTCCATAACAACTTGATCCACCGGCTGGAACTTCCCCTGAGCAACAAATGACATAACAACGGATACTGTGACATTCATGTGTGAGGGGTACGTGAGGAAACTGAGTCCTGTTTACAGTGACTGCTGCTGATCCTATTCAGCTGGATAACATGCAGACACTGTTCTTTTAAAATATAGACTGGATTGGGCTGATAGAAATACAGTTCAACAGATTTATTGTGCAGTCTGTGTCTATAATATTAGTAACATTAAATACAAGAATCATATTTAATTAACATTATATTTAAAAACATTAGTACACAAAATAAGTTAATTATTAAGTTTAAAAAAATAAAACATAACTCAGACTCCAATGGACAGAACAAAGCTTCATGAAAACATCACTGAAACAACAGCTGTGAGATTAACGTAGGTTTCTGTTTCTTACCTCTCTGCCAGATTTAATCAAATATGGCAAAATTAAATAGAGAGGATCCATCGGTGTTAAAAAGAGAAGTCTCCCATCTGTTAAACAAATAGAGAGAAACAAACACCTGATTATCACATGATCAAATTCAAAACCTAGACCACAGTTAAAAATACATAATAAAAGTGCAGCATTTCTAAATGTTCAAATGCGTCATGTAGCATACTGCACATATCTTTTATATACTTTTTATTTTTTATAATGTAAGTTATCTATGTAAGACCAACTGTGACATGACCCAATTTCCCCTGTGGAAAACAAAGTATTTCTGATTCTGACAATTTAAACTTAAATTTAATCAACATATAAAACAATGTTTGACAGACCTAATGGTTTGTTTTAATTACATTTTTATCAGCAGATCCTCTTCGTCATTGTTAAGAATGAGAAAAAACTCTTTTACAGCTGAGAAATACAGCTAATTGGGACTAAAGCTGATGTGAGCCTTTGTAGCACTGTAAGCAATTATCATTAGTTTGGTCAGAGTTTAAACTGTAACAAGGACTGAGACCAACCTCTCTGTACAGTCTGACCAACAAACCAGGAGTGGAAATCTTCTTCAAATGCTTTGACCTCAAACAGCTGTACGTCCCCACTACTGAGCATATACAGAGATGCCACATCTGCCAGCCAAAAAAAACAAGGAGGAACTGAGTTACTTTCACTTCAACATCAGCAAATGCATTTCATAAGATACAGAATTAGACTGCTGGGGAAAAGCCTTAACTTTCATGTGATGTTTATTTTATGTTATACATATCCTCATGATTGAATTGATCAGATTTTGACTTTATGTTAATACAGTGTTGTTAAGAATGCAGCTAACAGTTATGTTTACATTCAGAGTTACTTAGTAAAACGCCTTGTGTGTATCCTTGAGGTCCAACAAATGTGAATGCATTTCCTTCCTCATAAAATATTTGCACAAGACTGACAAAACTAGGAAAAAAAGCTCCAGAGCACTATTAGAGGTCAAAAACTAGCTCAAACTTCTCCTGTTTGAAAACCATCAACTCCCAGTTAGGATTTCTCCAGTGCTCCTTGTTCAGGAGGTTTTTTACCCGGAGCCAAATTATCCGTAGAGGTCTCTTCCTCTCCAAAACAAATGGACCCAGTGATTTAAACCGGTAGAAACTCTAAATAAAGAAGTTTCACATTGAAAATTAGTTTTTTTCCGACCTTTGGCTCATCATGGAGGGGCTACTAGCTATAGTTGCCGATGCAAAAACATGAATAGCCCTCTCTAGAGTCAGTGTTTGGTTTTTCCGTTCTGGGCTACTCTAGAAACGTGGTAGTGCAACATGGTGGACTCTGTGGACGAGGACCCCCTCCCCATGTAGGTATAAATGGCTCACTTTAAGTAACAAAACCCAACAATCTTTATTTTCAGGTGATTATACACTAAAGAAAACATACTACGTATATTCTAGTTCTGCCAATATAGCCCCCTACGTTCTACACACTGAACCTTTAAATACTAATAAATAGAAAAAAGTAGATATTTGCTTATGACTTCATGTTAATAATCTTCTGTCATAATAAACTGAATAAATTGACGCATTGGATACTTTGGATTGTTACTGATTGTTGGGAAAAAAAAAAAACAAGATTCGAAAACGTCGCCTCGGGCTATGGAAACTTGACAGACATTTTTACTATCCTATGACAATTTATAGACCTGAGATTGTTAGTTGCAGCCGCAGAGATAATGTTACAACAATAAGAAAAGTGCTCGACCTGTAGCAGGATTCCTTAGCCTCACAAAAGCTGGGTCACTGTCGTGCTTCTGTGTGTGGATGGCAGAGTCTGTGGACACCAAAACAGAAGCGACATTCATGATAAATAAAGAGTCATCTCTAAGAAAAATTCACTGTGTACTCTGTGAGAAATGATAACTGTCTGGCTGTATGTCAATCTGAGAACAAAAGCAAAGTTAACACTACTAAACTGGGCACAAATGCTAAAGGGACAGTTTTCTGAAGTGGGGTTGTATGAGGTACTTACCCATAGTCAGTGTATCACATGCTGTAGATGGCGGTCGGCATGCTCCCAGTTTGGAGAAGCAAGCAGGACTCTGACACAAAAGTTCCATCTAAAAATTTCAATATCAGTTTAAGCGTACGCTATACTTAAAGTATTCTCATCACTTTACTGCCAGACAGCCGGTTTTGACAGCTTCAGCTCCTCATTTGTGCTCTAATACAGCCACCAGACTACATTGATAAAAACAGTAATTTTAGCTTGCTGACCATGGGAGCTGTTGATCTACCACCGGCTTGATCAGTTAGTTAGTTAGTATTATTGAGTGACTTTGGCTTTTAAAAGGGTTAGTTTGGATTCACAAAAGTCACAATATAACACAAACAAAGAAGCTGTTGGAGGCAGCAGTAGACCAGCCGCTCCTATGTAGGGCATCGTTTAATCTCTGGTTTTCTCAATGGAGTCTGGCACTGAAGAGATTACCTTGATGGCTTCATTTCCTGGTTAGTAATCACCGTCTGGCAGTGAGATAAAGCAGTGGCCATATTCTCAATATAGTGTACGCTCAAACCGTTATTGAACTTTTTAAGGTGGGACTTTTTATAGGTGGCAAAAATACGTTTTGTTGCGGACACCTGCACATCAGTAGATGTTTCGCTTTCATGTCAGACTCCTGTCTACTTCTCCAAACTGGAGGCGTGCCGACTGACATCTACTGTGTATAGTATACTGTCTATGAATAAGTACCTCATACAACCCTACTTAAAAAAACCACAACAAAAAAACAATGCCTTTAACGTTATTTTTTGGAAGACACTCAAACAAAACAAACAACTAGCTAACTTAGTCGTTAGGCGTCATTTCCTGTGATATGTGGCTAAAGTTAGAAGCAAGCTAGCATAATAGCTAACATTGCCGTTTGTTAACTAAGGAGCTTAACGTTACATGATGACAGTTAGGTCTGATAACGGTGCTATGGCTACCCGCATCTAATAGTCGCAAGCTAGCTTAGCTAAGTTAGCTCAAACTGAGTGTCTTCGTTGCACAGCTTCACCTACCCGCAGCGATGACAACCCAACTGTCGTTATTTACATGAGGCGTTCGCTTCTTTTTAGTCGCCATGTTGTATTATTGAGTTTAACGGAGTGTGCTGCTGTTTCCCCGAGTTGTTATTTCTATAAAATGAATGTGTATTTGAGCTAAAACAGTGTCGGCCTGCTGAGTGTCAAAGCTACTTTTCGCCTGACGACATGAGCTCAGAAAAGGCGCCTTTGCTCTGAGCACTTCCTGCGACCGTCACCGAGGGGAAAACAACACTTTTGTTATTGTGTTTCTATCGCCTCATTTCGATTCGTTTTTACAAACAAATACTATTGATCATGTTTTAAAAAGTAAAGAAATATATCGGCGTCGAAATAAGCACACAAAGACACGACAATGGTAATGTTGTAGACGTTGAATTCACGCTGTTCACCCCTGTTTTTAACGTAGTGGAACATTCCGTGCTGACGTTGCGTCGAGCTGCAGTTCCTCACTGAGGCCGCTAGAGGTCGCCCAACAGCCGTGATAATAATTTAATGGTAACATTTGAGGTTTAGCCCACACACTTTACCTCCCAGTCACTTCGCTGATATTTATGCAGTTATGCTTTGGTGTCCGCAGAGAGCCCAAAGGTCTCTGCTCCGCTCTGCTCTGCTCTCAGGTTGCAGGTTGTTTGGTGACCAGTTGTCCTTTGGCACACTGGCACACAACAGATTGGGGGATCCATCTGTCCTTCAGTAAGAGGAGGGCATCTCTCACACACTCTCTCAGGATATGACACTGTGTGTGTCCCAGTTGGTTTTCAGTGAGTCACTTGTGTTTTTTTGTTCTTGCACTGTTTACGTGCATGCTCAGATGAGGATGTGTAGGATGCTCGAGTGTGTTTTCATCCCCATTAGATGACTATGACTGTGTCATAGGTTTGTTCAACTGTCCGGGGGTCCCTCTGATATGTTTGTATAGTTTTTGTTTTTTTATGCTGTCTTCTAAAGACACCCACAGCACAGCCCATTAACAGGTTTTTATTTAGCTTGTTTTGGTAATGAGGAAGGGAGGGATATGTGTGCCGGTTGACTGAGCTTTTAAACATGGCCAATACAGTGTCTCTGTGGGGAGCAGCATGATGTAGAGGAAAATCAGAGCCTACGCAGGGTGACTTATGGCCCCGTGTTTCTGACTTGCTCATTTTCATGTCGTGTTTTTCTGCGTCTTCAGTTTATTGTCTCCCGTATCGCTGTCTTTCCTCTTTTTTTGATCCATTTGAAAATGCTGCCTTGCAGGCCCATTTGCCTAGATTTGAGCAACACATGCTCTCACTCCTTTGAACACTATCTCCTCCTTAAAATCAGTGAGATTTATGTTGCTGTAGTCTGTGGCAAAGAGAGCGTGGGTGAGATATTGTCTGTGAATTACTTGTTTTATGGGTCCCGGGAGTATCATACACAACAGTCTGTGCGGCTAAACAGAATATTCCATGAAAGCTTTCTTTCTTTTTGGGCTGCTTGAGGGAACGTCTGTGTTTCTGACTGCCAGGGAGAACAACAGCGGCCTTTCTGATACGCTGGACCACAGACAGCCCCAGAGAGCCGAGTCCTCTGTCACCAGCATGCAGACGAGAACAAAGTGGGTCTAAATTTAGGCCCAGATATGGCTTCGGAGTCCGAGACCCTGCCATCCTTTTTCCAAACCCAAATCCTCATCCATCATACATCCAACAAAGAGAAATTCAGCACAACCAAAGTGTGCTCTGTCTATCTCCCCCCTCGAGCTCCACTTCCTTCTTCCCTATGTAATGCAGTTTTGAGCTCGCAATTTCTTGGTAGAAATAAGATGATTCCAATAAACTTCTCTGTGGAGGTAGGAGTTTATTGCAGCCAGCAGGCGGTAGACGGTCGGTCACACTCTGCTGAGCACATTGAACAGCCCCATGGTCCTATCCATCTCTGTGGCCTCATTTGTGGTGGTCCAATGCAGAGTGACTGGTTACAGCTTACATATCGACTCAGCCTGGAGCTGTCATGTCACCACCATGTGCTGTGCGTTACCACGGGAGCATTTTTCTACCCTCTTCATCTTTTATGCTTGATTTTGCAATACATGCTTTTACTAAAGCACCAAAGCTTATTTCTGGTATGTGAAAAACCTGCTTGGCAGTGAACCGGATTCAGATCTCCAGGAGTGAAAAGAGCTGATTTCAAGAGCAATCATGCTTACGATTTTTAACTGTCATGGCTGCCAAGAGAGGCAGGTTATAAATAGAAAGACAACATCACTCAGGGTGCCACTTTTTTTCTTTATAGATACAGACATAGGCTGTTACTTCACGCAGCTGTTAAAGCCACATTTTGAATTCCCTGCAGATCTTCAGCTCAAGGAGGTAATGTACACATTAATACGACACACACACACACACATATATACACACACACACAAAAAACAGATGTGGAGAGAATTCCCCTTGGCAGCAGAAGCCTTTGAGTCATCATCTGGGATTCCCTTCCTCTCACTTCCAAATATGGGTGGGATTGTGAGCGAGCGGGAGGCAGAATGTGGAAGGCAGAGTGGAACCCCCTTGTGATGTCAGAGCTCTGGAACAGTGAGCCTCACGCTGACTGGAAACTCACAGGAAGGAATGTCGGGAATGTGAGAATCACCGAAATGCTATTCCCACGTGCATGTTTGTAAAGTCTGAGTTTTAGCACACAAGCCTCATGTGCACCCACACACTCTCTCACACACTCTCACACACACACACAATGTGATCGCCACTCCTCTCATTGGGGAGATATTCCTTCCCGTAAAGCCTTATTCCCACCTCCCCACCCCACTCACCCCACACATGGTGACTCCTTATTCCCAGCATCAGTTGCTCTGTGTGAGGCCTCTGGTTCAATGTGGTATTTCCCCTCTGTCTAAAGGCAGATGATTGCGTCATAGCATCAGCATTAACTGTTGTGTGCTCTGTGTTAAACTCTAAAAATATATAATGCATAATGAAATATAGAATTTTTCACTTTTGGGAACATTTAAAGGGAATTATTTGACTTTTTACTCTGTCTGAAGACTGTAGTTGATTTGCAGAATACATGCAAAACTCAAAATAATCGTATCACCACATGTGACATTTCGGGCACCAGCTTTACGTAAGGAAGCACCAAATCTAAATAGATTTGTTTATTACATTGCCACAGTACTTCTCATTGAGTATCACTACTTTTTTGTAGTATTAGAGGCGCCTCTATTTATCTCCAAAAATCTTAAAAAAATATTAATTATAAAAATTTCTTCCACATTTTCACCTTAAATTTGCATGTCATTATGACGTTTTTGATCTGATATTTCAGTCATGTGGTATTTGAAATGATAATCTAAGCACTGCTGGTGATTTTGTAAATGTATTTTTTTTGTAAATGTATTCCTGTGGTGTAATTTTGTACTGGTTTTGCCAGTGTGGTGTACTTCAACTCAACTGAACTTTATTTACATAGCACCTTTCATACAAACATGCAGCCCAAAGTGCTTCACATGGCAAAATTGGAATGACACAAAAACAAGACAATAAAATATTGAAAAAAGCAAACTAACAAAAAAGACGATTAAAACTCCAACATAGAATAAAAAGAGAGTAAATAAAAAAAGAAAGAAAATCGAATAAAAATGAACAGGAGAGAGAAAAGAAGGTAACAAACAATGGTTAAAGCTTAAAAATCAAAACTGTAACAATACGCCACATTAAAAGCCCTATTAAAAGGATAGGTCTTTAATTTACGTTTAAAAATACAGAGAGAGCTCACCACTCTAATAGAGGTAGCAGATTCCACAGTTTGGGGGCGTAAAAACAGAAAGCGCTCTCACCACTACTTTTATGGGACACATCAGGAACATTTAAAAGTAAAGCAGTGGACGACCTTATTGATCTGGAACATAAAATGATGTATGTATGGAGGGGCAAGGTCATTTAAAGCTTTATAAACAAGTAAAAGAACTTTAAAATCAATTCTAAAAGAACTGATTTTACTTGGTTCCTGTTTAGCTACATGTGTAATCACATGATCTGTTGGGCGACCACCATAGAGTGTGGCAGGGCTGACGTCAAAACCCGGAAGTTTAGCATCGCGCTGGTTCCCGGAAGAGAAAGTGAATGTGATTTTTGCATTGCGTTTTGGATTATGTCAGAAAATAAGCTCTGTGGCTAACACGAGTTTATGATACTTCCGCGAGATAATCTTCACATATGAACACCTTTCATACCACATTTGAAGCTTAAATGCGATCGTCAGAAGTAAAAAGCTAACATTAGGCTTTAACGGACTACATGACTACTCCATGGTTGCATGACTCTTGACGTCACCGCCACTAAGCTTTCAACTGATTTCGGCCGCTTTATTTTAAAAACATTGTATAATGGGGAAATCGGACTGTTTAAGCTAAATAAGAAGCTGTAACGGCGGACTGCCAGCACTCTGGTCTGTTCGGGGGTGACGTTTAATGTCAGGCGGTTGCTAACAAGTATTGAGCAACTTGTTAGCAACCGCCTTTTTTACGACACATAGAAGCTTCAAAATTCACAAATAGGGTATTTACTGACGTGTTTTTTGTCGTAGAACAAAACCTGAAACTCGCTTAAGCTTTTGTTAACCACAGACCTTATTTGAGGCATTTTACCAAAATCCCATTAAAAAAACATATTGACTTTTAGACGAGAGAACCAGAAGTGCTAAAAGCGCTAACGGAGTTCCGGGTTTACTGGCACACTATTGGTTGTACATATAGAGGTGTGTCTCCTTATCTTGCTCATGTCTGACGAAGGGCAGGTGCCCGAAACTTCACATGTACGATTAAAATTTCCAAAAGGAGCAGTTTCTGGTGTGCAAACCTGTTTTTGTATTTGTTCCTCTGTCCAGCACCCATTATGTATCATTTTTGGATGTGCGTGCTGTTTCTTCAAAACTTAGAATAATCTCATAAAGCTTTAAAGG